CTATGCCTCTATGATTAACCACGTGTCCCAGGAACTGACTAGAACTCACGCCGAATAAGCACTTAGTTGGATTGAGCTTTATTCCATATTGTCTCAACACATCAAATATTGTAGATGTTTTAGATGGTCAACTTTCTTCTTACTTTTTACTACCATGTTATCAATGTAGGCTTCCACTGTCTTCCCTATTTGATCCTTGAAAGTTTTGCTAATAAGCCTTTGATAAATTGCTCCAGCGTTCTTCAATCCGAACAGCATAACTTTGTAGCAATAGGTTCCTCGCTCGGTAACGAAAGAAGTTTTCTCTTCGTCAGCAGGATCCATGGGGATCTGATTATAACCTGAATAAGCATCTAAGAAGGTTAAACGCTCATACCCAGTAGTAGCATCCACCATTTGATTAATCTTGGGCAGCGGAAAGCTATCTTTCGGACAGGCTTTGTTCAAATTGGTGAAGTCAATGCACACTCGCCACTTCCCATTCTTCTTCTGCACAACAGCAACGTTTAACAACCAGTCGGGATAGTACACTTCTCTTATGAATCCCACATCAAGCAGCCTATCAACCTCCTCGGCTATGATCCGGTTGCATTCTGGAGTAAACCTTCGCTGCTTCTGCTTTACAGGTCTTGCATTGGGATTAACGTTCAGGGAGTAATAGGATACCAAAGGGCTAATTCCAGGCATGTCTAAGTGACTCCAGGCAAATACATCGGCATTGTGAGATAGGAAATCAATTAATTCCTGTTTTTCCCTCTCGGTGAGTCTTACTCCCACTCGAGTAGATCGCTCTGGCTTAGACTGATCGATCTGTACATCAATAAGGGGTTCTTCAGTCAAGTCCACTGGCTCCTCCTCCCCATTCTACTTGGGTGGAGGTTTCTGTAATTGCTATATCGGGCTCGCCGATCGAACATGTGTTTTTCCTTTCCCAGCGGATTTCAGTGTCACTAAATAACATTCTTTAGCTTCAACTTGGTCCCCATGAATGTCAATCACTTTGGTGCCGTCTGGCCCTAGCCATCTTATTACTTGGGGCAGAGTGGAAGGAACACCTTGAACTCTGTGGATCTACCCTCTGCCCATCAGAAGGTTGTAAGAGGGATGGATCTCGACAACCACAAAGCTCTCCATCAGAACCCTCTCTGCAGCATGCACTGCTACTTCCATCGTACCGATGGGCTCCACTAGTTTTCCATCAAACCCTAGCAAAGGATTCCCAGTGGGCTTGAGCCGGTCTGGCTTGATCTCGAGCCGATCAAATGTGTCCCTCGGCATGACGTTCGCACTACTTCCAGGATCAATCAGAACTTTGCGTACCAAACATTCGGCCACTGTCAAACTGACGACTAACGGATTTTCATGAGGAATCTAAACGCATAATAGGTCAGTTCTGTCAAACTTGATTTGAGTTGATGCGTTCTACTGATGCAGAGTGTTTACACTACCTATCATCTTCTTCATCTATGTCTGGTGGAGGCGTGCTCTAAGCAGTTCTTCTGACTCTTCAGCCAGTTCGAGCCGACCATGAATCGCATTGATTATGCGAACTGGTTGCGAATTGTGGGAGCTCGGCTTTTGATTCCTTTTTACTTGCTCCATTGGTCGGTTCTGTTCCACCGCCGTGCCTTGGATATAACTTGCGAACTCCCCTATGGCTATATCTCCACCTGCCTCCTTAAGTTCCTGCATTTATTAATCTGATGGCTAAAGTCAAAATGGAAAGCACAATGCGTAGACTGGTCCCTCTGGTCGAGGGGCAGTCTAATAGGTAAAGGAGGTCGGAACTTATCTTTATTTTCCTGGTACAGCTTTGCCAGGGTGACTTTCAGCGAAGTAACCAGCTCTTTCTCTCTGGGCCTCTTCTCAGCTTTCCAAGAGGTCTGACGCTGTAACTGAGCCTGCTTTTGCCTAATTTTTGCTTTGGTTTTCTCTTGTGTTGTTATTATGGATGTCTTCCGAGCGTTAGCTGCTTCTTCTTCTTCTAAGCATACAAAACCATCAGCTCTTTCGTTCAACTCATCCATAGTCTGTGGCGTGTTCACCACCAGACTTGTGTGGAACAGAGTCCCACGAATCATAGCCAGCTTGAATGCCTGAACCGCCGTGAACGGATAGCACTCGATCACCATGCTCTTGGTTAAATTGAATCTGGTAAGAAAGGCTTGGAGGCGTTCATCTTCATGCTGCTGCATCGTGAACAGACTGGAGACATCTTTTGCTGGGCGCTTATTCCCATAGTACTGGCTGATGAACCGATCGCAAAGACTTCGAAAACTATCAATCGAGCCCCTCGGTAAGTTTTTGAACCAATTGAGCGCTGGTCCAGCTAAGCTTGTTGGAAAACATTTGCACATTAAGGAGTCGTTCTCCGTGTTCAGAGCCATTTTGAATTGGATATGATACATATGATCGATCGGATCAGTCGTTCCATCAAACAGGATGAAAACTAGCATGGAGAATTTCCTTGGACTCGGAGCATTCAGAATTTCATCGGTAAACGGCGAGTCAACCGTCCGAGATGCTAAACGAAGGGCCTCATTCTCTCTATGGAACCTTGCGGCAGCTCTCTGATCCGTAGATTTCCTTTCTGAGTTTCGGTAGTCCAACGTAGCCATTGAAGGTCGATAAAGCGAATCGGATGATCTTTCTTCCATGTATTCCTTCTGCCAGATCGATGTAGTTTTGTGATGTCCAAACTCCACAGCTTCTTCTCGGTTGTACCTCTCCTAATATAAATTAAAAGTCATTGCCTCGTTCCGCCTGATCTGCTCACGCCGTGGATCTAAGTGAATTGAGCCTTCTCGATCATCAAAATGAAGAGGATTTGGCGGCAAATCATCTGGCCTAACCTCCTCGTGACGAGGATTTGTCAGATTGTTCTCTTCCTCTTCACCTTGACGCGCAACAACAGGATGCATAACTTCTTCACCCGCCGGAAGCGGTTGCAGAAATGCCGGAGCTTTTTGGCACTGCATGCCAGCTTTCAACTCTGCATTCTCTTTCCTGAGAACTTCGATCATGTTCATCAACTCATCAAGCTTCACCTGCTGGACATTCTCCACCGGATTGGAGCTCTCGCCTCCTATCATGATTTCAGAGTGAAGCAAAGGCATGAATCACAAGATCTTAATCAAATCTGAGCTTTACTGATGCAAATCTCGTCGGTTCTGGACTCAAATTCACCGAATCGCGATCACAGTTTGCTAGATCTGAGCTTTTCTAGCTTCTAACTCACCGGATCTAGCTGCGATCAAGCAAATCTCAGCTGTGTAATTCCAACGCAAACACGTCAAAACCAACAGTAATCAAGAATTCCTTCAGAAAAAACTGCAATCTCTCCGATCTGGATTCAATTTTTAGAAATTTTGCTTCGTCTTCAAGGATCAGTTTGAATTAACATGACATTGATCAAGCATGAATGAATGTTCTTCATCAATTCCCACAGACGGCGCCAATTGAAGATGCAAAGAATTCACTCTCCCTATTTTCACAGAATCTCATTACATTTACAACAAAAAAAAACTGTATTTACATTCTCTCTTTCCTGTCTATTTATAGGCATTTACAAGTGCTATAAGTAATTCCCTAAGTTAGGTCTCTTGACCTCAAACTTCATTCCTTACGGGCCTAGCTCTTCTCGGAAGATCCCATGTATTCGGCCCATTCCGCAACATCATCGTGTGGGCTGAATCCAGTTTCTCAGCCCGATCCTCTTTTCGAGGGTCATATCCGGCCCATGTCACTTCCGGTATCCTCAGTACCATCTTAACTTTATGCATGCCTTTGTTTTTTTTTTTTTTTTTTTTTTCCCTTTGTTTTATTATTATTATTTTTCCCTTTTATGTTGGGAAATACATAATACTTAATATATAATTTAAGATGCATAAAATTATACCAGTACCATATTTTTTATTTTTAAGAAAAAGAGATTAGTTTAATTTTTTTAGATGAAATAATTAAGCATCTTAATTTAAAAATAAAAAAGAAAAAAGTAATAACAAAATATAATTTATTTGAAAAATATGTATATTATCAAAAAATCATTTTTGATGTATACATTTTTAAGAAGTTGTGAGATTTATAAAGTAAATAACAAAAAAAAAAAAAAAAAAAAAAAAGGTGAACAATATAAAGTTTTTTTTTTTTTTTATGCATAAATTGTTCATGAGGGTAGATTAGTCCAATTTATTAAATTGTAAAGTTAAAAAAGTCTCATAAACGGTCTAAAGGTAATTTGGTCAATTTATCATGTAAAGGGGTGTCTTTGTCGATTTTTTAACTTTCAGAGGTGTCTTTGTTCAAAAAAACAGGTAAGTTTCATCTGAGTATCCTTTTGCCAAACCTCAAGGGATGTGACTATACTTTACCCTATATTGAAATAATGTATTAGGTAATTTAATTATTGAATGATCATTTAATCTAAGAATGTATTCGTTAATGATCATTTTAATATATGAATTTATGTTAATAAATTAAAATTTTATCCAGTAGGTTATGGTTAAAAATTAAAAAATATTGGACAATTTAGAAAATAACCCAATCCACGAATTCGATCCAATCCGTTATCCCACGGATTGGTAGCAGATTAAGATTTTTTCAATCCGTTGGAAGCAGATCGGATTAGGATTGATGCCTAATCGGATGTAGCCATCCCTACCAGAATGTAAAGATGATCTGCTTTCTACCAGAAAAATAGGGAGGAAAAAATATTCTGGAGAATATTAGATACAATTTTATATGAGCTCTATAAAATTTCAGAATGTTAGGCACGCTATCATTAATAATGATCAAAGTCTAGCAACAAAATGACTAGGCTTATTTCGAACCAAACAACATTGGGAAATCTAGAAGAAAATTATTCCATGGTAAAAAAGTTGAGGACACTAAATCTGACCTGTTCATATGATTTTCACTATTAGATTCTTCACATAAACAAGTGGTGTGCTAAGTCATAAATAAAACTATAAAAGATGATAACCATGCATGACCTCCAGTGATTAAAATAAAACCCAACCAATAGCACCTGCACAAAATTGACAAATGACTATCCTACATTGAAGACTACATGTTCTTGCAAGAACAACATTTTGATAGTACATCCATTTTCAAATAAAAGGTACTCTTTTACATGTTTCACACAAAATGTGACTACAAGAATTAGTCCAGCGGTTTTATCTGAGACATGGGATATAACATGATCACCTTTCAATAGTACCAGAATTCGTTTGACACATCGGAACTTGGGATAGCCAAGCATTATTTCTTGTTGTCATAAGCAGCTATATTTTGGGGTTCACATTCAGGGCTAAAAAGGCGGACCAACAAAGCAGTAGTTGAGCTTACAGAGAGAGCTCCACAAGCTGCCCACCTGAGACTCCTGGGAACTGTGATTCTTGGACCTGCGTTAGTAAGGAAACCGTACAAAAATAAGATTCTTTGCAGAATATATGTGTTGACACAGTCATCTTCGTCAATCCGTGTAATATGTCAACTTATGGAGCTGGATTTGAAAATCGTTGTAAAACCATTTAGTCCTCAAAAGAAGAGGGCTTCAAAGTTCAGTATTGCCTTATTATTATTATTATTTTTTTGATAAGTAGTATTGCCTTATTTCAAAGCATTTGACCATGAAATTAATTTAAAACCAAATTGAATTACACCCGTGAACTTGAAATCTGTAGAACTTAGAATACAGTATATCGGAGTATAAATAATTCCAGGTTTCCAAAATATATTGTACTTACAAAAAAACTATAAAACAAATAAATAATGTAGGTAGAGAGAAACTGTATAGCAGGGTGCAAATTTTGTTTGGATAAAGAAACCTTTGGCGCCAACAAACACGCAATCACATGCTTATCTGGTAAGGATAAGAAGACCAACAGCCAGTGTTCATGTGAGCAAATAGAAAGTTAAACCAGAGATCCCATGATAACACAATGATCTGACAAAAAACAGATGACAGAGCAAAACAAACATGACTAAACAATATTCCATCACCACAGTTGATATACGTCGCAAAAACATAAAGTAGCATGACCAAGAGCCGAATTTCATATCTTATTAGTTGGAATCGAATGGACTGATAACAAAATCTTTTTTGACAATAGTGATAAATAAGATGGATTGAGGGTTTAAAATGCATAAACTTTTCACAACATTCAGAAGATGCACAATAATGATACTTCACTCTATTGGTTCACTAACTGCAACTTACCAATTGGCACAAGTAACTTAGCTTTGAGACATAAAATTTCATCATCCAAAACTCTTTCATTTCACTATACATTCCATTTGATAGCACTCAGCACAGTTGAGAAAAAGAGGAATGTGGAAGGTACTCTGAAATGTTTTATCATGCTCCCAAGTGAAAGTATATATGAGATAAATAACTGAATCTAAAGATGTTAAAATAAGAGGGACAGGCAGTAACTAATTGCAAAAGGCCAGAAAAAAAAGAACTAAATAACAGAAGAAAGTGGTTGAAACCCTTACACGACCTCTCTCGTCCCTCTAACATGTGATTCAGTTCCCATTAGGTAATCTTAAAGTTACAAAATCACTTTTAAACCCCAGATTCACCCCCAAAATACTTCAACAAAAGTAGCCTAACACGGAAAAAAAACAATAGTGTTGCATAGAACATAATCTCTGGGTGCGCTAAAAAGTGGATGGTGTGTAATTTTTCCTTCGTTTTTTTTCCCTAGGTGCGCACCCCGCGGATGTGTTCAAAGGAAAGCCTCATCCTTTTCTGAAGTAAGTTGACATTTAATACTTCTCAATGCTCCCTTAATGTTCCAAAGTAGCTAGAAAACCCACAACGGGCTGAAAACAGTTTGATCATTTCAAAAGAAGAAGATATCCTCAAATTAAATTGCTAGTAGCAGACTCGTCCACAACTCCACATTACCATCAAGCAGAAGGCAAGAATCACTGTATGCTTAAAAGGGTGTGCAATAAATAAATAAATAAAATCCTCTCTGCAAACATCCTTTATCACAACAAAGACAATCCACATTTCTCTTGATCTTTACATTACAGGGTTCTATAAGTACTTTCATCAAACAGGTGATGTGCACTGTGAAACCATAACGAAGAACAACAAAATGGGTATTTCAGAATCAAAGAATTAAGCGTGACATGTAATTTTAGAAGCATATATGTGATTGAAAAGCGAAAGAAAAAGGAAAGGCAAAGAAATGGAAGAACAGACCATAATGCAAGCGACAGAAAACCCAAAATCCTAATCCTCCGCCAACACTGAAAATCCCAGCAGTATGCCTCATCAATCTGGAACAAGGTTTTGCATCTGACCTCATCAACTCGCCATCAGAAAACCCAAAGAAACGCCTCAATGCCATGCTTTTGCTTTCCCAACAAAAACTCAGTGTTGGCTTACAACTATTTGCTTTGTTTTTCAAAACCTAGTCTGCTCCGTGAACTTCTCAAGTGCTAATTATAAATTAAGAATTTGTTTAATATTTCAAGTTTTTAATGTCAGTGATAAAGTGAAATTTGTCATTTATAATTTAGTAAATTACATTAACCTCCTCTAAAATTTGATCAAACTAATTTCAAATTACATACGAAGAGAGAATTTGAATTTTATTACTGATTTTTCCTATTTTATTTAATTTAATAAATATATATATATATATCAAACCAAAATACATTATATTACCCTACTTTTTTTTTTTAAGAAAAAAAAAAAAAAAAAAACCTAATTAAACCCTAAAAAGAAAACTAATAGAATGTCATTAATAAAATATATATATTTTTGAAAAAATTTATAATATAAAATTAGTATAAAAATGACTTTAAATTTTAATGGCATCCATGGTATTTTGGTCATTTCATTTTAATATAGAAGGTTGTTGAGGTCTTTTAATAAAAGAAAAATGCAATTTAGTCATTTTTTTAATTTTCATTAACGGCAGGGAGTGTTATTGAGCACACTTGCCAAATATCAGGAGAGAAGAAAGTAATAAAACTGAAACGTTCGACTCGTGTTTAATTTGTCCAAACCTCATTAAATCGTCAGTGTAATTTTTCATTCAAAATTTTATCACATTTAAGTAACTTATTTATTAAATTTCATAATTAAATGTAATTAATTAATTATTTCAAAATTAGTAATGAATTTAGTTATCAAAGAATATTACTGGGTTAAAAAAAAACTAAATACAAATGATTTTTTTTAAAGTTTTAGTTCTCTAAAACTCTTTTTGTTTTTCTAAAACTAATACTGATTAATAACTGAACTAGGTAAAATCTCAAATCTGCAATGGCAAATCTCTCCCCGTGTCTTTAAAGTTGGGGTCAATTTTTTTGGGACCATCTCAAGAAATTGTTCGATAATTCCTTGGTGCATAGACTGCATGTGCCAATCAGTTGATTGTGACTTTAGGATGGACAATCACTACCGTAAATAAATAAATAAAAAGTGCGGAAAAGAAAAGGAAAAAAAAAACCTATTTGTATAGACAAATTGCTAACAAACAATGATAGCAGAGCAATAAATGCTGGGACGATATATGTCCTTTCAATTTAAAGCCAAAGTTAGTAGTGGTGTTATTATTATTATTATTTTTTTCTCCCTCTTCTCTTCTCTTTCTTTCCCTTCTCTTAGCGAAGACGAGCAAAACACAATCCAAAAACCATAAAAAAAATTAGCTTCCAACATCTGCCACCGCAAAAGACGTAGCTGAAAGAGGAAGATAATCCAACAATTGATCCGTCCCAAGCCTAGGTCGCAAAAGAATTGTCAAAGCATGAGCCACCGTATTACTTTAACGACGCACACAAGTTAAAGTGACATATGAGAATTGTCGAAGATCTAAATTAATATCAAAACAAATAGGAGCAATTTTCGCCGGACAAGTCGCCCCACCCAACACCCCATCCAAGTCAACTTTGGCATCGGATTCAAACCATAAATAAGAAAAACCCAATTCAAAAGTACAGAGAATAGCACATTGACACACCATAAATTTCGCCTGCAAAGAAGAAGAAGCAGAAAAAGGGGCAAAAAATAACCACCATAACCACTACACCACAAGAATTTCGGAAAACAGCTCCACCTCCCTCCATCAAAGACTGCTGATTAAACGGAGTACCAAAATTACACTTAACAATTCCAAAAGGAGGAGGACTCCAAGAATCCACCAAATTGTTATCCTGCACTAGATTTAAGGAGGAACAGAGGGACCTAGCATCTGTAAACTCCTAACAGTTTGCAACCGCCTTCCTTACAACAACCTCAAGCCTCCATAATATCCCATTAAAGATCAACCGGTTTCTCGCCTTCCAAATACCCCAAATACAAAAGGAAATCAGATTAAGCACCCCCTCAAACTCCGATGAGATCATAGCCCGATGCAGCAAAAATCTCTATCCATCCCGGAAAGTAGAAAAAAAAAATCCAAAAAATCAAGATACAACGGAGATATCTTCCACACTTGAATAGAATGGGGGCACAAAAAAATAAGATGCACCACAGATTCCTCATATAAACCACAATGAGGACAAAACGGCGACACAGCACAACCACGAGTCAACAAAGAAACCCGAACCAGCAACGCATTAAGGCAACAGCGCCAAAGAAAGTGTTACACCTTAGACAGAGTACGACACCGCCAAATAGAGGACCAAGAACAATAGGGTGAAGCAACCCCAGAAAAGTGAGACATTGAAATTGCCAATTTATAAGCAGACCGAACTGAAAATTTACCTGACCTGTCTAAAGCCCAAATGACAACATCCGATTTATTCTACCGGCTAATGTGAATTTTGAGAATTTCCTGCACCGTAAGAGGATGGAAAAACTGATCCAAAACATCCACTTTCCACGAAGACGTAGCAGGATTAATCAAATTTGCGACAGAAGAGAAAGGAACATGAACCATAGATGGTGAAAGTTTCTACGGCAGCATAAGAACCTAATGATCATTCCAAACATGCGTAGAGATACCATTCCCAATCAATGAGCGTAAGCCCTGACGCAACAAAGCCCGAGAAGACCAAATACTACGCCAACCCCAGGAAGGATTAGACCCCAATGAAGCATCCAAAAACGACGAAGAAGGAAAATACTTGGCCTTAAAAAGAATGGGGGCACAAAAAAATAAGATGCACCATAGATTCCTCATATAAACCACAATGTGGACAAAACGGTGACACAGCACAACCACGAGTCAACAAAGAAACCTGAACCAGCAACGCATTAAGACAACAGCGCCAAAGAAAGTGTTGCACCTTGACAGAGTACGACACCGCCAAATAGAGGACTAAAAACAATAGGGTGAAGCAACCCCAGAAAAGTGAGACATTAAAATAGCCAATTTATAAGCAGACCGAACTGAAAATTTACCCGACCTCTCTGGAGCCCAAATGACAACATCCGATTTATTCCACCAGCTGATGTGAATTTTGAGAATTTCATGCACCGTAAGAGGATGGAAAAACTGATCCAAAACATTCACTTTCCACGAAGACGTAACAGGATTAATCAAATTTGTGACAGAAGAGAAAGGAACATGAACCGTGGGTGGTGAAAGTCGCTGCGGCAGTATAAGAACCCAATGATCATTCCAAACATGCGTAGAGATACCATTCCCAATCAATGAGCGTAAGCCCTGACACAACAAAGCCTGAGAAGACCAAATACTACGCCAACCCCAGGAAGGATTAGACCCCAATGAAGCATCCAAAAACGACGAAGAAGGAAAATACTTGGCCTTAAAAAGAATGGGGGCACAAAAAAATAAAATGCACCACAGATTCCTCATATAAAGCACAATGAGGACAAAACGGCGACACAACACAACCATGAGTCAACAAAGAAACCAGAACTAGCAACGCATTAAGACAACAGAGCCAAAGAAAGTGTTGCACCTTAGACAGAGTACGACACCGCCAAATAGAGGACTAAGAACAATAGGGTGAAGCAACCCCAGAAAAGTGAGACATTGAAATAGCCAATTTATAAGCAAACCGAACTGAAAATTTACCCGACCTCTCTGGAGCCCAAATGACAACATCCGATTTATTCCACCGGCTAATGTGAATTTTGAGAATTTCTTGCACCATAAGAGGATGGAAAAACTGATCCAAAACATCCATTTTTCGCGAAGACGTAGTAGAATTAATCAAATCTGTGACAGAAGAGAAAGGAACATGAACCGTGGGTGGTGAAAGTGTAACGACCCGAACCCGAGGGTCCAAATCGCTAACCGGGTCCTTACCCAAACCCGAGGTCAACTAAAGACGTTACCGTCCTTTCCTATGGCAATACATAATATACGTGTCATCCCAGGGTTTATAAATAATAATAATAATAATAAAATAAGATCATAACTACAAAATAGGTCAAACAGTCCACTACCCCTTCAAAACCTGTGGAAGAGCGTCATCCACCACTTCCTTTCCGTATCCTGAAAAATGTTAAAATAATGGGGTGAGCTAAACGCTCAGTAGGAAGTGTCTAAGACACACTTCTTATGACCCCGTGAATCCACATAAGGAATAGAGTACAAGTAAATGGGATCATGCCTTGGGGAAAACAAGTAAAACAACAATAATATCAACAAATATATACGCAAGTCGTCTAACCACCAAATGTACAATGTATTCCAATGAAATGCCTTGCCATGCTATGTCGCTTCCCATTTCCGAAACAATACCGTTTCAACTTCCAAACTGTTAGTCCAATCCGACCCAAGGCACCTCCAAGGCGTCACGAATGGAGGGTTGACTAACTATCCACGACCACAAGGCACCTCCAAGGCGTCGCATCTGGCCTAGTTAGCTCAATCATACTCCTTTCTAGACTACACTAACAACACGGACCGCTAGGCGCCTCCTAGGCGTCTGATTTTCATAAACACTTTTCAAAAAAAACTTTTCCCAAATACAATTACATTTGTTTTTAAAACAAACTTTTCCCTTTACTTTCCCAATGGTAATGCATGAATTATGCAAATCCTTCAATGCCATGACAATATAGAAATCTCATTCACATCATTCAAGCATGTTTAAAACATGAATTTTCACACAATATCACATTCTCATATTTCTAAATTATGGCATTTTACATACTTTCAATTCGCAAATCCAATAACTTAAATACATAAGCCATAAAACAAAGTCATTTATTTTCATAACTACAACATCACTTTTCATAACAATTTAAAATCATAAGACATATAATACATCAATACTAAGTATGCTTCTTCACCACAAGAATTTAATCATATTCATAAGCTCACTTAGCACATAACATGCCTTTATCACCTTAAATACCAACAACCACAACAAACATAATCAAAATAATTACAATTAAGCATGCTTAGAGTCAAATTAAAGGAAAAATTTACAAGAAATCTAAGAAATTGTGGATTAGAGCACCCTTACCTTAAGAAATGAAGAAAACCCCATTTTCAGCCCAAAAATTAAAATCCAAAAGGTAACCAAATTGAACTTTGTTCCGATCAAAATAACGGCCTCAACGAGCTCTCCAATATTGCCTTAAGAGGTACTATCAAATTCACAAAGGGTAAGGCTAGATCAAGCCTTGAATTTATGGCAAAAGAAAAAGAAAAAAATGCAAGAAATGAGGGAGAGAGATAATCTGCCGAGAGAGAGAAAGTGGGTTTCATTTGTAATGGCTTAAAAGAATGAGGTGGGTCCCACTCACTTTTTTAAATATCACCTTTAACTTTATTATATATATATATATATATATATATATATATATATATACACACATTATTCACTTACCGCCACACATACATATATATAAATATATAAAAATCACAAATATTACAACTACCCTCCTTAAAAGATTTCGTCCTCGAAATTTACCCTTCTTAAAGAAGGAGATGCACAACCATACCCCTTCCCGAGAACACCTCACAAAACTCCAAAACCAAAAACTCACCAACATTATTGTCTTTGACACCGGATGTCATCAAGCAATCACACACCACTGCCACAAAAACACAATGTTCACCACCCTATGAGGGTACTCATTACTCACGACATCAGAACACGAGACCAACTAGGCCCTACATCCGACTCTCAACGGACATCAATCCACTTTACGCTACTACGCAAGACTCAGAAGCCCGAAAGAAGAATGGTCTCTAGACCACCGAACATGACAATATCCAATCTCAACTCCTCCTTAAAAGGACACACAAAACTCCAGACATAGACCGTCTATCTCACAATCAAGCTCAACTCTAATCTACACATCTCTGTCAGATCGAACACTCACTGCCTAACATTTAACTACACCATTACATACCCATGCTCATTACTTGTCACATTAGCATAAAAGAAAATTGCACCAACTGTGCCTACTGCTTGCCATCGTCATGCATCTCATTTTTTCCATCTTGTCATATATAATATGCTTCCAAATAACATAAACACTTCATTTACATATAATGACAATTTAAACACGTAAGCACTTAACAAAAAGGTATGCTTTCAAAACTGTAATCATATAAGCAAGTAACAAGTAGGCATGCTTCTCAAAACAACAAACACTTTAACATACAACACCTTTAAATCACTCAAGTCCCACTTCGGTCAACCCTACCCGTCGTCCTTAGGTTTTCGAACCTAACACTCTGATACCAAATTTGTAACGACCCGAACCCGACGGTTCGAATCGCTAACCGGGTCCTTACCCGAACCCGAGGTCAACTAAAGACGTTACCGTCCTTTCCTATGGCAATACATAATATACGTGTCATTCCAGGGTTTATAAATAATAAGAATAATAATAATAAAATGAGATCATAGCTACAAAATAGGTCAAACAGTCCACTAACCCATCAAAACCTGTGGAGGAGCATCATCCACCACTTCCTTTCCGTATAATAAAAAATGTTAAAATAATGGGGTGAGCTAAACGCTCAGTAGGAAGTGTCTAAGACACACTTCTTACGACCCGGTGAATCCACATAAGGAATAGAGTATAAGTAAATGGGATCATGCCTCGGGGAAAATAAGTAAAACAACGATAATATCAACAAATATATAGGCAAGTCGTCTAACCACCAAATGTATAATGTATTCCAATAAAATGCCTTGCCATGCCATGTCGCTTCCCATTTCCGAAACAATACCGTTTCAACTTCCAAACCGTTAGTGCAATCCGACCCAAGGCACCTCCAAGGCGTCACATCCGGCCTAGTTAGCTCAACTATATTCCCTTCTAGACTACACTAACAACACGGACCGCTAAGCGCCTCCTAGGTGTCCGATTTTCATAAACACTTTTCAAAAAAAACTTTTCCCAAATACAATTTCATTTGTTTTTAAAACAAACTTTTCCCTTTACTTTCCCAATGGTAATGCATGAATTATGCAAATCCTTTAATGCCATGACAATATGAAATCGCATTCACATCATTCACATCATTCAAGCATGTTTAAAACATGAATTTTCACACAATATCACATTCTCATATTTCTAAATCATGGCATTTTACATACTTTCAATTCGCAAATCCAACAACTTAAATACATAAGGTATAAAACAAAGTCATTTATTTTCATAACTACAACATCACTTTTCATAGCAATTTAAAATCATAGGACATATAATACATCAATACTAAGCATGCTTCTTCACCACAAGAATTTAATCATATTCATAAGCTCACTTAACACATAACATGCCTTTATCACCTTAAATACCAACAACCACAATAAACATATTCAAGATAATTACAATTAAGCATGCTTAGAGTCAAATTAAAGGAAATATTCACAAGAAATCTAAGAAATTGTGGATTAGAGCACCCTTACCTCAAGAAATGAAGAAAACCCCATTTTCAGCCCAAAAATTGAAATACAAAGGGTGACCAAATTGAACTTTGCTCCGATCAAAATAACGGCCTCAACGAGCTCTCCAATATTGCCTTAAGAGGTACTATCAAATTCACAAAGGGTAAGGTTAGATCAAGCCTTGAATTTGTGGCAAAAGAAACAGAAAAAAATGCAAGAAATGAGGGAGAGAGATAATCTGCCGAGAGAAAGAAAATGGGTTTTATTTGTAATGGCTTAAAAGAATGAGGTGGTCCCACTCATTTTTTTAAAAAAAATATCACCTTTAACTTTATTGTGTATATATATATATATATATATATATATACACACACATATATATATATTATTCACTTACCACCACACATACATATATATAAATATATAAAAATCACAAATATTACAGAAAGTTTCTGTGGCAGCATAGGAACCCAATGATCATTCCAAACATGCGTAGAGATACCATTCCCAATCAATGAGCGTAAGCCCTGACGCAACAAAGCCTGAGAAGACCGAATAGTACGCCAACCCTAGGAAGGATTAGACCCCAATGAAGCATCCAAAAACGACGAAGAAGGAAAATACTTGGCCTTAAAAAGAATGGGGGCACAAAAAAATAAAATGCACCATAGATTCCTCATATAAACCACAATGAGGACAAAACAGCGACATAGCACAACCACTGTCAACAAAGAAACCCGAACCAGCAATGCATTAAGACAACAGCGCCAAAGAAAGTGTTGCACCTTAGACAGAGTACGACACCGCCAAATAGAGGACCAAGAACAATAGGGTGAAGCAACCCCAGAAAAGTGAGACATTGAAATTGCCAATTTCTAAGCAGACCGAACTGAAAATTTACCCGACCTCTCTGGAGCCCAAATGACAACATCCGATTTATTCCACCGGCTGACGTGAATTTTGAGAATTTCTTGCACCGTAAGAGGATGGAAAAACTGATCCAAAACATCCACTTTCCACGAAGACGTAGCAAGATTAATCAAATCTGCGACAGAAGAGAAAGGAATATGAACCGTGGGTGGTGAAAGTTTCTACAGCATCATAAGAACCCAATGATTATTCCAAACATGCGTAGAGATACCATTCCCAATTAATGAGCGTAAGCCCTGACGCAATAAAGCCTGAGAAGACCAAATACTACGCTAACCCCAGGAAGGATTAGACCTTAATGAAGCATCCAAAAACGACGAAGAAAGAAAATACTTGGCCTTAAAAAGCTGATACACCAACCCCTTCTTCGTAACCTGAAAATGCCAAGCATGCTTCGCTAAAAGGGCTAAATTGAAAGCCTCTAGATCTTGAAACTCAAGTCCACCCGAATTCTTACTCCGGCAAGAAGATCCCAATGAATGCAATTAATTGCCCCATTTTTATCCTTATTACACCACCAAAAAGAACGAATATGCTTCATCAAATCTTGACACAATAAGATGGGAAGTTTAAAAGAATACATAAGAGCATCTCCAATGGGGCTGCCATATGGGCTGCCAATTCAAAATATAGCAGGTGGGCTTAAAACTGGGCTCTCCAATGCAATGTTATATGGGCCGCTACTATTTAACTTTGCTATTTCTTATGCCAATTGTAGTAAAACAAATAGCAATTGCTATATGGGCTGGGGCTACAGAAAAGAAAGGACGACTCCTATTTCGCTCTTGTTTTGTCTAAGGCAATAGAGAGAGAGAAGAGAACGGTGGCAACAGAAACGGAAGAGACCGGCGACCAGCAACAAAAAGTTAATCTCTTCCTCATCATTATTTCTCCAATTCATCGTCGGGTCACCGTCAATCCATTGCTCTTCCTCATCGTTATTAAACTCATAATTTATGGTTAGACTCATAAACCCCTTTTTCTCCCTCATCGTTGTCTCTCTGATTCGTTGCCGGGTCACCGTCAATCCATTGCTGTCCTCTAAGGTACACTGTTGTTCATTATCTTCCTCTCACCTCTAATCTAAATCTTCCAGAAAGCAGAATCAATCAAAAATTGATTCATTAATATTATTATTTTTTTAAATGATCGCAATATACGTGAGGGAAAATTTGGGTGAATTGGGTTTTTGATTTTGTTTGATATGCAACAAGAGTTTTTTAGTTAGATTATTGATGAGAATATAAATTCAAATACTTTAATGTTAATTACAGGGTCTCCAAACCTTCTAAGATCTTTGCTGAGAAATTTTCAACTCTAGATATCGGCTTCTTTTTCTTTACTTGGTAAGCTCTTTCTCATGTGATGTTTGTGTAATCATGATAATGTATGTGTCTCAATTACTTGTGCAGCTCAATTAGATAATTTTATGCTAAATTCAAGTTATAGTTTCTTTCCGGACATCAGATAAAATTGGAACAAATTTACTGGGAAAAAAAAAAAAGTAGTGGTAATTGTTTGATGTACTTTTTTTAATTGAAATATATGTTACATCAATTCTTCTATAGAAGTGTGAAATGTTAGAAGTAGCATTTTGAAACAAGACATGTTGAGTATAGGTGTTGGGATTTTCCAAGTCCAATATGCAACTAGGAAGCATATTGATAATTTAGGTTTATCATATGATTTTGGTCATAAAATTGTCTCATTTTAATTTATCTTTTTTAAAAATAAGTTCAAGGTACAGATATATAGGTTGGTTCATGTGTCCTTAGGCTTGAAGATAGTGAATACAACAATTAGACACATCCATATGTATTTTAAAAATATATATATCATTTTGTTTTATCTCTTTTTTTTTTTTTTCTTTTTTTCGTTTTTGGTCCTTTTTTGACCAGATATTTTAGATTTTTGCTTCTTTTTAATTAGGTTTAATTTTAATTTCCTTCTAACGTCTACAACTTAACTTGGAATATACCTAATATTAATATTATTGATGCAAATATAAATGGTGGGAATGATAGTTGAAATGGAATGGTGGTTGTGTCAAAAAATAGCATTTTGCATGAAATGCACCATTGTAGCATAATTGCTAAAATGTAGCATTTTGACACTGTAACACCTGTCAAAATATAGATTTGGCATCCGAAAATAACTTTTAGCATTGGAGATGGTCTAACGTACGTAGGTAAAGCACTCAACACAGCCTAAATCAAAACCTCTTTCCCACCCGAGGACAAAGACTTCGCCTTCCAAAAAGATAATCTGTCCTGGATTTTTGTCAGCAAAAACTGAAACACATTTTGCTTGGATCGTCCCAAAATTGCCGGCACACCAAGATACCGACTATGCAAACTTTGCATTTGCAATCCCAAATATCGATTAAGAAATCGACGCACTGATCCGGGGGCATTCTTTGAAAAGAAAATAGATGATTTACTAAAATTCACTTGCTGTCTAGAAGCCCGTTCATAATCTGCCAAAATGCGTTTCAAAATATAAACTTCCTCTTGAACTGTAACACAAGACACAATAGAATCATCAGCAAAAAAAAGATGAGAAATAGACGAAGCACCCCGATAAATACAAATACCAGATAACAATCGGGCTTGCTGGACACGCAAAAGAGCAAGAGAAAGAGTTTCAACACAGATAATAAAAAGATACGGAGATAGAGGGTCGCCCTAACGCAATCCCCTTAACGGTGTGAAAAAACCCACCGAACTCCCTTTAAGTTTTAAAGAGTAAGAAACCATGGATATGCATGCGGTTATCATTTGAATCCAATGATCGTTCAAGCCCAGCTTAGACAGCATATGCAAAAAAAAAAGTCTCACTCAATTCGATCATAAGCTTTACTCATATCAAGTTTCAACACCAACCACGCCTTACTCACCTTTCTTTTATTTTTTAAATAATGCAAAATTTCATGAATAATTAAAATATTATCCGTAATATGACGACCAACAACAAACGCACTTTAGGAATCATTGATAAGGGAGCCAATAATCCCTTTCAAGCGGTTAGTCATTATTTTTGCAATAATCCGATAAGATACATTACACAAAGAAATAGGTCTGTAATGACTAACCTGCATCGGAGATGGAATCTTAGGAATTAAAACGACATTAGTATGATTAAAACTGGATAACAAATTTCCCGTAGCAAAGAAGCTAGAGACAGCAGCATCAATATCCCTTTTAATTACCTCTTACTATTTATGATAGAACAGCGGGGTCATCCTATCTGGTCCAGGGGCTTTCATCGATTGAATTAAAAAAATAGTCTGCTTCACTTCCAACTCCGACAGGACCAACAAAATATTGGCATTCATCTTATCAGAAATTCGCACAAGAGCATACCACAAAAATTGATCAATATTGGTAGGACGGGAAGACTGAAATAAACTCTGAAAATAACTCAAAAACACTGATTGAATAGAATGTTCATCAGTCACCCACTGGTTCCCTGCATCAAAAGCCCCTGAAATGGTATTACAGCCGCGCCTCCTTTTAGCAGCGACATGAAAAAATTTGGTATTACGATCCCCCTCTTGCAACAAAAGAAGGCAGGACTTCTGCTTCCAAAATAATTCTTCCTCTAACCAACAAGAAGTTAAAATTTTTTCTAAGTGAACCACATCCGTATGACAATAAGTAGAAGTTTGAGCTTTCAATTCACGAAGCCGAGCAACCGTACTATCAAGACGAGCTCGGGAATTAAGATTTCGGAGCTTAGACCACCTAATAAGATCAGCTTTACAGTGCCTGAATTTATGAGCCCACTGAAATTGAGACGAACCAGTTATCGGAATAAACCAAGCCGAATCAACAATTTGCCCACAATCCTCCAACAAAGTCCAATGAGCATCAAAATGAAATTGCTGTTTCTAAGGCCGTACGACAGGCAAAAGTTCAAGAAGCAAAGCAAAGTGATCGGATCCCACTATTGAAAGATGAGATAATTGAGTCCGAGGAAAAGTAGATATCCAATCTTTCGTTGCCAAAGCTCGATCCAAAGCCTCCTGAATATTAGCAGGTCCATCTCGCTGGTTAGACCAGGTAAAAGGAAAACCCACATAACCGATATCCACCAAAGCACAACGATCCAACAAATTACGGAAGGACCGAAGCTGCCTCCCTTTCTTAACTCTGCCCCCATGTTTTTCAGAAATATGTAAAATATTATTAAAATCACCAATCAGAACCCACCGACCAGACCAAAGGTGAGCGTTATGAACAAAATACTCCCATAGCAAAGCTCTTTCCCGGTCCACTGTACTAGCATATAAAAGAGAAAAAAACCATGGGATCTGATTATGGGACAGAACAACAACAATAATAGAAAAACGGGTTTTATCCACCGCCAGTATCTGCACATTATCAGTAAAGGGCGGACCACCCGCAATCACATCAGGCTTTACCAAGCAACTATTAGAAAAACCCAATAATTGTTGAACAAATAAGGTCCGCCGCAAATTTTTGGTTTCAAGAACACCAATAATATCCGGAGAGTACTAAGATTTCAATCGTTTAAGTTGCTGAACCGTAGAAACAGACCCCAGCCCTTGGCAATTCCATACAATAATATTGTGAAAACCAGTATTGCAACCAGAAAAATATTCAGATTGATGATTAGAATACGAAGAAAGAGAAGAAGAAGGTTGCAATAAACCGAAAGACGCAGCAGAACAGCGCCGTGAAGGAGAACCCCGAGCTGAACACATGGTCCTGGACCCAACACTTTAAATTGGACCTGCAAAACACAGCATCAAAATGGACAAGAATAAAACCCAACAACAAAAAAAACAAGTGAAACCTCCACAGCCCAAATAGTGAAAAGCCCAGCCCACAAAACTATGGGAAACATGAAAGTTTTAAAAACTTTCTGAGGGATTTTCATACATATATCTTGATTCGTCACATAGAAACAAGTTTTATACAAAAATAAAACATGATGTATCATTCAATTAATAGATTGATTACTTACATCAAAGGTTTGAGTAAACTTTAGATCTCTCCTCTAAAGTGAATGTTCTCACTTATTATAGATCCCTTTGCTAGATGCTTTCTCATTAGATCTCCATTTTCTTGGTAATGGTCTTGCCTTTAGAAATCACCCATAAGCCTTCATGAATAACCTTGGAGAACTAGACTTGTGTGAGCCTCCATTAGATGAGAACATGAACTCTAGAATTCTAGAGAGAGAAAATATATATTCCTTTTTCTTCCAAAAGTCTCCCCTAAAATATACACGAACCATGTATATATAGGCAACATAATGATAAGAAAAGGAAACAATAAATCATTCTCAATCTCTAATTGACATGTCTCAAATCTAATATGATTCAAATATCAAGTTGGGCTATGAGTGAGAATCCTTTGGGCTCATTATTTTCTTGATTATAATGAATTAATAATTGGCCCGATCCATGGACCCAATTCAATTAATTCATAAATTAATTTCTACTGCACTAAAAGAAATTAATTGAACTCCAATAAAATAATAAATAACCTCTAAGTCAATATTGCACTTTGACCCCTCTATGCATAATTAGTTATCAGATAAATAAAGCCATCAATCTGACTACTTAATTAATATATTTATTTTGATACCTCTAATTATTTTCGGCTTGATCACAATAAAGCATTTGTTTGACAAAAATAATAATTAAAATAAATAAATATATAATAAATCATTTTGTCTAAAAACATACGAAGGCCTTCGAATTTACTTTACGATCAACCATAATCAATACAAAAAAAATACAAGTAGCAATGATGCAAATATTAAAAATATAACCCTCTAACTATTAATTACATAATTACCCAAAGTGCAGGTTCAAGGATTCCGAAAATTCCGCTGAACAAATCAAAGTAATTACTAATTAATAAAAGAGTCTATACTTCTCTCATACTTAAGAGTCAAATGCTATGACAGTGATAGGAAACAATTGCATACGACGGCTCTCGCAATATATCTCAACTTAACACGGATCCAAGTCTTAGTTAATAATGATTCCATCCATAATTATCGACTACGAATAATTTATGATTACTATTTATATTCATGTGTTGATCGCCATCACATACATTTATAAATATTTCTTGTAATCAAGTGGACACTATCAATTCCATAATAAATCGAAACATAATACATTGAATTCACCAATTATATAAATTATAAATATTTCAAATATGTCATGACCGTATGTCACTATAATTCAAATAGGAATTTACTATGCCAGGGAATATAAATCCCAACAAAAACAATTGAACCACAAAACAACACATAGCCACACAGGAAACCACAGAAACAAGACCGCCTAACCGTCAACGCCGGAACTGAAATCGGCGCCGAACCCTCGCGATCCACTATCTGAAACACCAAAGCGTGCTAAGCAACCAACGAAAATAACTAATACACAACTGAAATCCATAGAACCTGCAATGCCTGAACGTGAACCGGCACCGAACCACGCAATCCACACCTCCGAAACACCAAAGCAAACTGAGCACCCAACAAGAACAACCAAAGCAAGATCAGTAAACACCAAAAATCAACCCGAAAACCCTGATCAGAAACCGTTGAAGAACAAATCAAAAACAAAGAACCAGCAACCACAGCCACCATAGCAACCACACAAACTGAAATTGGAGCCACCAAAGCCAACCCAAAACGCTATACAAAAACCCAAAGAACCAACAACCACACAAACACCCGAAGAAGAACACAGGAGACCAGACGCTCCCCAATCCTGACCGAACATGAAACCTTTACACAGAGAGGAACCACCAGCTATGACTTCTTCTGAAAAGTAAATCATTGTCATTTAAAGCCAAAGTTAAAATGTTCATGTTGTGAGAATTTAGGTGTGGTTGTGTTGCCCATGGTAAAAAGGCCAAGTTTAGAGTGCCCCCACCATATTAATCCTAGGTTTGTTTCTTCCCTTACTTAATTAAGGACAATACTTTCCTATTTATCGATGAGTATAATGTTTATAGTTACCATCGATGTGGCCAACAACAAAGTGACAAGTGTCCCTACAATATAAAAAAAATATATTAATAAAAGATTTAAGAAGTTAATTAGGTTAAATCCAGTAAGATCCAAATCAAATCCATATCTAATTATCTCTTTTACATGCTACTCTATTGCCCTAATCCCTAAGCCCTAATGAATTACAACTACAAGTATCTTGCTCAAAACAAATCCATGAAAGGAATTGGATTATGATTTTCGATTGTGGGTGATTAGATTTCATGTGTGAACTACTATATATATATATATATTGATTTTGTTATTTTGAAACATAGTTTGTGTTGTTTAGCCCTCCGTTGCCTTCTTGTTGATGAGGAAAAAAACAACCAAATTGTTTGTGTAAAGGTAGATGCTTGCACTTGTTAATGGTGTCTTCCCACATGTAAAAATAAATATGAATCTATGATTGTCTTATATAATTAATCAACCAAAAAGAATTCTTAAGAAAACAGATTTTATTTTTTTAACCAAATCATGACTAAATACTTTATTTTATTTATTTGAATAATATTAATAAACCTATTTTAACGCAAATACAAAAGCAGGGAGTGGCTAGGTTTACATTTGAACTCTCAAGTCTCGCCATCATAAAAAAGTTTAATCCAATTCTTTCTACAAAAGCAGAGAGTGGCTAGGTTTACATTTGAACTCTCAAGTCTCGCCATCATAAAAAAGCTTAATCCAATTCTTTCTACATAATTTTTTTGGGGTTGATTAAGATTTTATTGTGTTTAACCCAAATAACTTTTAAAATCTTTTATTTTTTATTGGAGTGACACTTGTGACATTATTATTTGGCCACACAAGTGGTAAGTATGAAATTTCTAGACAAGTATTATTCCCTACCTAATTAATTGACAGGCTAAAAAATAATAAAAATGAATAACGTTGTGAGAATTTGGAATCAAATAAAAACCAAAGTAATAATAAGCCCAACTGGTTTCGCTGGACTGGGCTTGCCCATATTTTTTTTTTGAAGGGTAAATGTTAGGGGTTAGTTGGTACCAAGTCTCGAATCTGTGCACTCCAAAAGCCAACATGAGACATCTTACCACCTAGGTTAGAAAACTTTGGCCCCATTTATTTTTATTGTTCTCACGTGCTGCATAATCTTTTTTCCCTGCTTCGTATGGGACGGACTGACCCACGCATAGTACGGAGTAGTTATTTTTTCTGGCCTTTGCTTTGTCGTTTATCTTGTTTGTTGCATTTTCCATGCTGCAACGTCTTTTTTTTTTTTGTTAATTAACCTTAAGAATTATTTTGATAATTCAATTAGAATTTAATTATGTTACTTATCACTGGACATTAAATATTTTAAATTTAAACAAAAATGAAAAAAATTTACAACTTAAAATTAGTAGTACTTTTATTTTTACTTTAAAAAATAAAATAGTCAATCTTATCAAACAACACCATGCTATTGTTTAGCAATTTTTTTTTTGGTACTAAATAATGTGTAAGCACATTTAATTTTGTCACAGAATTAATCATAAATAAAATACTACTTCGTACTAAGATAACATCGTCGCAATTGTACCAACTACCAACCAAAACAATATGAGTCGCCTTTTATATGGGACGGACGGACCCATGTATAGTAGTTATTACAAAAATAAAAAAAATAATAAGAAACTCTCACACGAGGGAGCCGAATTTCAAAGACACTCTCCATTTTGAATTCAATTTGACAAATTGTATATCCGTATCTTTTGGAAGCTTCTTGGAATTTTCGTATTTTTTACACAAATTATTGGTCCAAAACAAAGGTGCAATTACAAGTGCAACCAAAGCGCGCGTGGCCTTGCTTTTTCTGAATTCTATTTTATTATTTGTTTATTTTCTTTGAATGCTACTTATTTAGCTGCAGACAAAAAGGCTAATTTAGTCCCCACATGTAGATTAAATATCCTACATTTACACTATTACTTTATGGACTCTCTCTTCATCTCTAGACCACCCAAGTCTTCTAAGAACCATCTTCACTTGCTCTGACTTCACCAAGGTTTGATTTCTAAATCTTGATCAGTATGTATATACATGAACTATGCTATTTATAGTAATCACAATCTGTTAGATTATCAATAGCACACAACCTGTTTGATTTTTATTGTGATCGGGGACTTAAATTTAGAATTGAAAAAAAAAATAATAATAATCAGTGTTATTTGTATGTTGGTCTCAGTACCACTCATAGTTGAATGTTTGTTGGGTTTAATGGAACTCAGCTCCAGAATTTCATACCCATATGGTCATTCTTGTTTGGTGGGGGTTGTGTGTGTTTATTTAGTATGGCCATGATTGGATTGTTTTGATTTTGATTTTCAGGTCTGGGTTTCATATGAATTATACATAAATATCTGTGTATATCTATATATTTGTGTTCAGCAGCTTTGATGAAACATTTGTGTCTAGTATCCCACTGATCTGCTGCTGATCAATATTGAAGTACAATTCAAGTTGATGCATACACCTTGATTATGTCTCTTGTTTCATCCATTGGTATTGGGTGTTTCTTTCCTGAAAATCTCTTGATCATTACTAAAAAGGGATCATGACTTTATTGGTCGAATATCGGTCTGTGTGCCTCAGTTTCAGCCTTTTGGGGGCGGTTCTTCCCCGTTTTAAGTATCTATTTTTTTTATTATAGTTAGTCTATTGCGAGGGAGATCTCAATCTAATGACTGAGGGGATGTGCTTAAGGTGAGAGTGCTTCCATGATAGTTTGTCGCCTTTTGTCGATATGTGGACCACTCTGCCTTTTTTATTAAGAAAGATGAAATTCAAAAGATCCTAAGGAAGCTCCTTGAGCCTTTTAAACTTGGGTTCATTATTTCATAGATCATCAAACTACTTGGGTGTGGTTACGTGGTAGATTTTATTTATGATGAAAGAGATTTTGGAGCAAACTGTGTATATGTGTTTTCATGACAGTTGGGAAATATAATGGAAAAGCTTTATTGTTATCCATTACTTGCAATCAAATTTAACGAAGGGACAATTGTATTGTCTATAGAAGACTTTAGGAGATTATACGTGGGATCTCTTGCCAACTATATATATTATATATCATGTTCAAAACCCAACAACCAGATTTCTCAAACTGTTGATCACCTTCATATTCTACTTTCTTTTTGGAGATAAATTAGTTTGTATTTTGAGAACTGCGAGAAGCTTTTTGTAATTTTATTTTTGGGTAAGTGTAGATTAAGAAAAGACCTGTGAGAAGTTATGACATTGAAGCAACAAGTGTCCGGCCTGGATTTTGTTATGTTAACACCCACAAACTCGCTAATTTAGCGAGTTGGTATGTTCTATATATTTGTTTCTGGGCCATAATTGAGCCATTTTCTGACAACGTCATGTTTCATGCTTCTAAGAAGCCAGTAAAACTGCAAAATAATGAATATTTTGGGAAGAATTGACTCCTATATAGATGCATGTATAGTGTTTGGAGTTTGTCAAAAGAGACTTTTAGTTGGCATTTTAAGATGCCGATCTAGTATTAAATGCTAACATTAAGTAATTTTCACATTTGCTTTATTTCTGATCATATAGATGCACTGTAGAGCTTACCTTTTATTCATTCTTAAACCAGGGAATTCTGTGAACATGGGCCGAAAATACCTTTGGGCGTTTTGTTTATGGGCGTTGGCATGCTCTTTACTTCCTGCTTCTTCTAATGGCTTAGTGAGAATTGGTTTGAAGAGGCGAAGCTTGGATCTTGATAGCATAAATGCTGCTAAAATGGCAAGAGTGGAAAGTAAATATCAAAAGAATGTGGAGAACATGCATCATAATTTGGGTGATGCAGATGGAGATATAGTATATCTGAAGAACTATTTAGATGCCCAGTACTATGGGGAGATTGGTATAGGCTCACCCCCGCAGAAATTCACTGTCATATTTGACACTGGCAGTTCTAATCTCTGGGTTCCATCATCAAAATGTTATTTTTCTGTGAGTTCTGCTCAATTTTGTTTTTTGAGATTTTCTAATGGTATCTTACTCATAGAATTACCTAATAATCAAAATTGCATGCAGATTGCTTGCTTATTCCATTCTAAGTACAAGGAAAGCCGGTCCAGTACATATACCAAAATAGGTAAATTTATTCCTTTATTGTGTTTCGCTAATATTTTAAGTTTCTTGTTACTGGGATGGTATTGACTATTGAGGTGTAAGTTGTTTGATATAAGAAAGCTTGTGTGTTTTTAGTTTTATTATGGGATTCATGCTCAAATAACCCTTTTGGAAATGTGAATTAGGAAAATCTGCTGAAATAAATTATGGATCTGGATCAATTTCTGGCTTCTTCAGTCAGGATAACGTCAAAGTTGGTAATCTTACTGTCAAAGATCAAGTGAGTTTTTGTTTTCTCTGAGTTCCGTTTCAAAGTTGATTTTGATCTTATTGCCTTCAGTGATAGTCATACATGTATTATTCTTTCAGGTTTTCATTGAGGCTACACGAGAAGGGAGTATTTCTTTTCTCTTGGCAAAGTTTGATGGGATTCTTGGGCTTGGATTCCAGGAAATTTCAGTTGGGAATGTGGTGCCAGTCTGGTATTTCTTTGTCCAAAAAATTTAGTAATTGAATTGTTTTCTAAATTTTGTTTTTTGGACAGAGAAGGATATATTTTGTTCCCTCTATTCTTTGTTGTTTTTAATGTTTAAGATTCACCAATTGATGATGAAAGTATAGGTACAACATGGTGGAACAAGGTCTTGTAAGTGAGGAGGTATTCTCTTTCTGGCTTAATCGGGATCAAGATGCAAAAGAGGGAGGGGAGCTTGTTTTCGGTGGTGTTGATCCAAAACACTTCAAGGGAGAGCATACTTATGTACCTGTAACTCAAAAGGGTTACTGGCAGGTAAAGATGAAAGATTAAAGTTTCAAAGAATGTTTGTCCTGTAACAATTATTGTTTTAATTAAATATTAATATTGTTGTTGCTTACGTGAAGTATTTGATTTGTATCTTGTACTTTCTTCAGTTTGAAATGGGCGAATTTTTTATTGGGAACAGTACGACAGGTAATTATTACATTATTTGTATGCCCCATAGTATAATATGATTCTTTCTTTTAACCGCAGACAAATTTTGATATCAAAGACTCGAAACAGTGGATGCCCTTAAGTACTCTTTGAAACCTAAAAAAATTGATTGAATTTGTAAATTTTTATGAGTTCCTTTTTATTTTGTTTCAGGTTTTTGTGAGGGGGGTTGTGCTGCTATTGTAGATTCTGGAACTTCCTTACTTGTTGGTCCTACTGTATGTGCTTCACCTTCCGACAATTACTTTACTGTCATACAGATCCTTCAGATTGATACATTATCCATCTTCTTTATTTCTATTCATTTCAAGCACATACCTCGATCACTAATTCTTTCTAATTAAACTATTCATTTCAGCCTATTGTGACCCAAATCAACCATGCCATTGGAGCAGAAGGAATAGTGAGCGTGGAATGTAAAGAAGTTGTGTCGCAGTACGGAGAAATGATATGGGATTTGCTAGTTTCAGGGGTTAGTTTTTAATTATTATACTTCAAATTTAATCTTTTCACTTTCTTCAAATTCATTAAACTTTTGGCTAAACATTGGGTTTTAAGGTATGACTTGCTTGATCTGCAGGCTGCGCCTGATCAAATATGTTCACAGATTGGTCTATGTTTTTTCAATGGGGCTCGGTATGTGAGGTCAGTATCTCCTTATTTTGCATAATGTCTTAATTATCAATGCTTGCCTCCAAATATCTTAGTGCCATTAGTTGATTCCTTAGGCCGTGTTTCCCTCGCCTTTCATTTCTGGAATGTGCTTCCTTGTGGATCACTTCTGGAACACAATGAATCGAAGTGGTTGTTCTGTGACTTCCTTGGGTGAACTGTGAACTTAAACCTTTTTTATTTTTTAAAGAAGGTTTAAGCATATTAGAATTTAAAACTCCTCTTAAACTTGATTTAAAGGGGTTTCTTTGAACCATTTTTGATCAAATACCGAATTTCCTTTTATGGTTTTCCTAATGAATTGCTCTAGTTTTATTTTTGTACACAAGTAAGTGCACTAAACACTGCCTTTAGTTAATAGTTGAACCCAATCATGTGCAGTAATAATATCAAAACAGTAGTTGAAAAAGAAAATGGGGATATATCGGCTAGGGATAGTGCTATGTGCACTGCCTGTGAGTTGGCTGTTGTTTGGCTCCAGAACCAGCTGAAACAAGAGGGAACAAAGGAGAAGGTGCTAGAGTATGTGAATCAGGTAAGTTATTACCAAAATTTATGCGACCTTGGTAAGCAATTGAACACTTGTGTCGTATTATGCATGTTTGATTTTTATGTTTTCAGCTCTGTGAGAGCCTGCCAAGTCCAATGGGAGAATCAATTATCGACTGTAACAGCATTTCAACCATGCCAAACATTACGTTCACCATTGGAAGTAAAGCTTACAGCCTCACGCCAGAACAGGTTTGATTTTGCAGTGACATTAAGTTCCTATTTGTGTAAATTTTTGGTAGCCATGTTTCTTCTAATTCATAATGCTCTTATTTTGTTCTCTGATCTTGTTCGAAATAATCATTCAGCTGACAAAATAGATTTATATCGATAGAGTCTAAGTCTTGGTACTCATTCCAACTCCGGGAAAGATTTGGTAACTGGGATTAAGTTGGAGAAATATATATCATGAATTGTTGTGAAGTTGATTATACCAATTTCCAAAGTGTGGCTGCAAATTTGAAAATCTGTGAAAAACTAGGAATGAATTTCAAGAAACTGATGCCAAAGGGCATCAAATCCTGAAAGGTTTCAATATGTGAACTTGTAATATTGTTCTGCATCAGACGGCGTGAAGAGTAATAATTTCAATACATATAAATCATGTTACTTTATAATATTCAAAGAAATTCAGCTTGATGTGTACATGAACCTTGTGAATTAGTGATAAAGGAAGTAAATAGAAACATAACAAAGAAATTTTTTTTTTTTTGTCCCATTGTTTTAATAGTATTTACTGATTATTAATATCATCTGGATGACTAACTTCTGATTCTTTTTCTTCAACAAACGCAATTGTTTTACTTCAGTACGTTCTTAAAACCGGAGAAGGCATTGCCACTGTCTGCCTTAGCGGATTTACTGCTTTGGATGTGCCTCCTCCTCGCGGCCCTCTCTGGTACGTTATCTTCACCACTATTAGCATTCATTATATGCATGCATATGTGCATGCCTATGCATGTAAAAGCATATACGTGTTTGGGATCATGCTTGTGCACGTAATTTTTGCCGGTAATAATCATATATGCATGCAGGATCCTTGGAGATATATTCATGGGGGTGTATCATACTGTGTTCGACTATGGCAATCTCCAAGTGGGTTTTGCTGAAGCTACTTAGTGACTCCTTTTGTTGCTTCTAAAAATGGTAATGGTGTTGTAAGTTGTAACCTAATGCTAGATTGTACTTGAATCCTGTCACGGTCATATAATCATATTATATATGTATGTGTTTGTGTGTGCTTGATATGAGGAAACTTGATATGTGAATATAATGCATAGAGATGCTATTTAAACCCCTGCTTGTTTGTACATGAATCATTGCCATTTTTGTTCATGTTTTTATAAGATGATGGCATTACTCATGAAAGGCATTTAAAATTCAATTTGGAAAAAAGAGAATGATTTTAATATGAAGAAACAATTCATTAAATGATAGGGGGGAAAAAAAAAATTCAAATTTGGATGAGCAAAATTTGGGTTGTTTGGGCTATTCTGGTTCGTTCTAGCCCTTTGGGCTGTCCAGTGCAGGAATTGATCACGAAACAACTCATTGCATTTTTCTGATTTGCTTTGCAAAGAATCCCATGTCGCCCGGTAGTTCAATACGAGTGGCCCATCAGTATATTGTGAACGTTTAGGCTATGTTTGGCTGCATAGAATTGCCCATGTGGTTTGCTAGTTCAATACGAGGCTTGAATATCTGGACTCAGCCCAAGCATATATTGTGAACATTCAAGCTATGTTCAGTTGTATAGAATTGGAATTGGAATTGGAATTGGTGAAATTGAACAAAATTTTCAATTTCATGCCGCTGAAGACAATCTTAGTTCTTTGGGATTGCTGAACATTTATTTATTTATATATTGTTTGATGTATTTTATGTATAATATATCATTTTCCAAGTTTGGATTAGTTATGATTCTTGAATTTTTGTGTGTGACATGAAATTAATTTACCACAACCAAAATTGTTTTTCTAATGTTGGTTTAACAAGTGAAATATGTCTCTTCTGTTTTCTACTCATTTCTGACAAGAATTGAAACCAAAAATAGAATATCATCTTCAGCATAATGTGGATTCTTTTTAAAGAAATAATTTCAGTTTCTACTTTGAAAAGGAGGGAATACACATCCTGCAAAACAGTACTTAATTGCACACTTTAACGCGTTCCGGTTGTTGCACCCCACGGCTAAGGTTTGCTCAGTTGAAATGCTCGGCCAAACAATTATTTTCCTCGGTCATATATATCGTTCAATGAAAAATAAAAATGAAAAGAGCTAACATGCAAGAATCAAATGCCTATAACAACAACAGTTCATAATTTAAAGAAAATCAAGCAAACGAGGTTGGTAAGATACTAATGCATGCGCGCAAATCATTCCAAAAATGCGCATTAAATCATGCCAAAAAAGCCCATTAATTAGCACTATTTGGATAGATTTCATATATATTCTTGTAGGAATTAAATTAAAGTAGTACTGCCCAAAATAGAAAGGCCTTACATTTATTTTTTATTTTTTATTTCGGAAAGTTAAGGCCCTACATTTTTACACTTTAAGCTTTATGCTCTAAGACAACACAATTTTTATATAGCTAAAATATCAACTCCACTAATTTAAAAAAGAATAAAATTGGGAAAAATGATCACTTCTAATATATGTTCACACAATGAAAATTATATTTTAAGGGTAAAGTGCAAAAATATTTTAGCTATATAAAAATTGTGCCAAAGCACTATTGTTATTTAGTATGCGCATATAAATTTTTAATATTTAAAAATTTATAGCAAATTGCCCCCTCCGACCAATTTTGAAGAAAAAAATCCCTTAAAACCCCCAAAAAAAAACCTTTTAAAATGACCACAATACCCCTCACCCTTGCCAATGAAACCACTCATATCATAGTACTAGAGAGAGTTATAACTTATAACATTGTGAATTGGGAAAACTATCACTTCTAATATATGTTCACACAATGAAATTCATATTATATATATATATATATATATATATATATATATTGCATGTATATGGATGTGTTTTGATTTTGCATGTATCCATGCAGTTGTGCGAGTGTGTATGAATAAAAATAGCGCAATTTCATTGCCATATAGTGGTTCTTCTTTTTGAAATATCAAGCACCATTGGTCTTTTTGAATTGGGTTACGTGATATTCGTGGAGATCCTAATTAAGAAGTAATCAACACGTGTCGACAGAACAAGCCCTATAGAATTTACAAGCCCACATTGAACAGCCTAACACACAAATATATACACTTTAAAAATGTCTCATATATATTCTTCCAAGCTAGTTCTTTATATAGAAAGCTCAAAAGATTTAATTGATTAATTAATCGTCCCACGTGATTACAACAAGAAAACATTATCTTAATAATGAGTTAAAGGCAAAAATGCAATAAGGGTTCCGTAGATTGAAGTACAAGGTGGCATGCCAATCTTTTCTGGCTGTCATTAGGGTTAGGGTTTATGAAGAATCCTAAAAGCCAGACAGCTTGCATGCAATGTTGGTGAGTAAGAATGTGTGGTTTAGGTTTTTCAGCAATTATCTAATGAACAAAAGAAGAAGTTAAAGTATATATGTTGCATTGAGTGTCTTTTCTACCAAAGTTCTAGTAATGTAGCTAGGGACATTTTGGTAATTACATGCTAATGTGGCATGCTGCGTGCTTCGTGATAATAATAGGAAGGGATAATTATATTTACTTCCCCTAAAGAAAGGGCAAATAATAAAAATCTTTATAATTTCAAAAATAACACTGACCTCCCATGTCATTGTTGACTTTAACCTGAATACCAAGGTACTTTTATTTCTAAACACTTAGCTTTTTCAAGTTTTTTAAGGGCTTTTTCGAATTTTAAGTAAATACTAAGCATGACATCAACAAACAAGAGTATCAAATTTTATGATAGAGGAAGTCGGTATTACTGATATCTGAACCAAATGGGAGAATGATCGGTGTTATTTATGAAACTCTCTTATTTCACCTTTCTGCAGGGGAGGTAAATGCCAACTTTTGTGAAGTTCTGTGAAGCAAAGAACCCTATCCTAAGAGGGAAAGTTGTGCCAACTTTTTGTTTAGCTTTGGCCTTAGAAGCCAATACATGCACTCAAAAGATTCAAAAGAGGCCTAAAGGTTTTCTTTTTGACTTCTTCCTTCACTCCCAAGTTTATATAATAATTCTCACGTTTGCTTTTTGCCCTAAAATAATCTTCTTCAAGCTTTATAACCAAATTTAGTCAAGTAAGTGTGATAAATATAAACTAGCTAGTCAAAATCATAATATGGCATCTAAGGAGTTAGGTACCTCATATAATATACAGATCATGTCTAAATCGAATCACAATGTACACATTGTTTCTGTTTATGTCAAATGTACCAATGTGAACATTAGAACGTGGTTAAATAAAGTTAATTTGTTCTCTTCATAAATATAGCTTGTGGACCAATAATTGTACATTCAAAAGACTGCTGTGTAGAAACATTATATATTTTATATATCTTCTGATGGGCTAACAAGAGAATCATTACCAATTATAAACTATATATTGCTTTGATATATTTTCAAGGTCTTGTTGGTTTTGATTCATAGCTTGATAAATATGCTTTGAAAAAGTGTAATATTGCCAAACAGCACTAATTATATATATATACAATTCATTTTATACTTAAATAGGTGCATAGCGTATCCGTAACGGTTCATTATAGAGAGAACCTACCTAGCTTACAGGTCATAGTAATCTGTTCAGTCAAGATGATCATATTAATTTAATTTGCAAAGTATCTTAATAAAGTGTTAAGGATGACACATTTCCATCTGGCTATGATTGACTATACAACCCTTGATATTATTATAACTAATTAATTATATTATCTATAGCTACATGAGCTAGCTATTGTTTATTCTTTAACTTTGAGAGTGTAGATTTTTCATAACTAGTGGCTCAAATGAAATGAACATAAAAAAAACCCTTTTTTATTTTTTATTTTTTTTTGGATATAGTAAATAAAAGAAGGAAAAAAACAACCCTTTTTGGTTGAATTAGCATAAAAATGTGGAGAAGATAGAATATATTAAGTTATTGGTTGTCTTTGGTATGGACTGAAGTGTGTTTATTTTTTATTTTTTTCTTAGTTGGTATTCACACACATTTGTCTTTTCTGACACTTGAACCCCTGATCTTCTTTTGAAATGTAAGAAATTGATATCGCTAGGTTACTAACCCATTGGCTATGAACTAAAGTGTAAGGACATTCTGAATATAATAAGATGATGGTAGTCATGTTTGTGTTGAAATTGAAGGTGAGGTAAGTGATAACCACATGTGTTATTTGACCTTGTGTATCAGATATGGGTATGCATTCACGCGTTGGACGGGTTAAATTTTTAAACAAAATGACACATGAATGCGGTTAAATATTTATTTTTTAGAGTAAAATAATATTTTTATCTAATATAGTGGTCAACATAGATATATTTTTTTCTTCTTAAAGTACGTTTATCGGTCCCATTATATACGCACCATTCAAGTCAAGAGTGCGATTCGAAAGCGAGATCTCAAAAATTTATCTCTTGAATTCCTGCCAATGCTACTATGTCCTGAAAACCGTCAATATAGATATTTAATTAATTTTAAATTAATTATATAATATAATTGAATATGATTTTTAACTATACGTTGAAAAAAACAAATGTACAACAATTATTAGTGGGGTAATAAGTGAGTTTAAGTTGGGACAACAAATATTTTATTTTATTTTCTGTGAGATGCTAGTACAAGAAAAGACCATAAAGCTGGTCTTTGAACCAATCACCAAGCTTGTTTAGGTCAATTGAACGTGCTTTGTCAATGTTTTACCAGCATAGAATTATTTCAGTTCAATCTTATTTCATTTAATCTGGACCATACACGTCGATTTTCACTCTGGATTCTCCACCCTTGGATCAATCCCAACAAAGCATACCTCACACTATAAATTCAAGTGTCCTCCATTGCCATTGAAATCCAAGAGAGTACACACCATGGGAGGCAACAACCAGAAGTCTTCTTCTTTTTCATTCTTCAACATCTTCAAAGCTAAGAAGTCCTCCTCTTCCAGGAGAGTTGAAGATGCATGGGGGGACTCTATGATGGCCTACAAAGTGTGGCCTAGCGACGAGGACAGAGGCCGGTGGGTGGCTGAGCCTGGCATTGACAGGAAAGCTTCAGACTACATTGCCAGGATCCATGCTGCAACTCAATATGGCTCAGAAACTTAACACGCGCGCGCGGACATTGTAATTTAGTTCATACCATGGATTATAGTCAATTTTTCCATTATAAATAATGAAGGTAGATAGTATCAAGATTTCTTTTTTGCTCTGTCCTTAATCTTCTTCTCTTGTGTGTAGTCTGTTTTAGACATACAATTACTATGTTTTATTTAAGGAATTCAAGCTTTGGTGTTTGTTCTCTGTCTCACTATTACTCCTATTTTAACAAGAGTGTATACACGACTGTCTCCTCTCTAATTCTGCATGTTAGCACATGCACTTTTGATCACTGTAATTTGTATGTGTATATGTATATGTGTGTATATATATATATATGCTAGCTGAAATGCATGGTCTGAGTACATATTTAGCATAGAAGTTGAGAACTGAGATTTTCGAAAAATGTAAACATGGTTGCAGCAATGGTACAAACTTATTGAACTAATATACGATCACTCATATTCAGCTTGTGAGATACTGATTAACAGATTAAATTTCCATGAAAAAGGATGGTGATTCACTGATTTGTTCCGGGACAATCACTGTACATTGGATATAACTTTTTCTCAACCTTCCACTTTATTCTTTTACAGTATATATATATATAACACATAGATATGTTTGAATCAAATTTGTAAAAATTTTCTCCATCCTTTTGAAAGCTTGTTATTCCTTATGTATATTTAGTACTTTTCTCTGTATGTTAAACTTTATTCTTCATGACAATAATGGTACAACAGAATAGGGAAATAAAAGGAGGGAATTAACAAGCCTGTTTAATTTGATAAGAACAAACAGAAATATTAGCACTCAAATCCAAAAGCATTATGGTGAATATATATCAATATTGCTGATAATATAGAATAAAATCAATGATGAAAAATCTGTATTAGCAGTGGTTGTTCCAAAAAAATAAACAATTTGATTCTGTTAGTAGATAGATACCACCAATTCATGCAAAAGAATGTGCATTTGGCACCATGCTGAAATGACATTACAGTCCCTCTTTATTCTCAGACTCGATAGCTCATGCTATTACTACAAAATGGTTGGTTGAAAAAGTATACCAGTCTCTGTTGTGTCCAGCTAACTATTGATGTATCCAAACATGCATCTATCAAACAAGTCCTACAAATTGTGTTTGTGTCTAACATTTAGTGTTAAAATTCACAATAAAAGTAAGTTTTTGGCTGAACTGGCAAAAGAATCAGTTGCCCTGGATGATTTACTAGGGTTTTGAGAAAGAATCAAAATTGTGAGAGGAATTTTTACATGGTTCTAGACTTATATAGTCCCCGTCAATCACAAGTTTATGCATCAAAATGTGATTAATGGAAATCATGTATTCTTGGACCATGTAATAACTTTTTCAATCATGAAAAGGAAAATGATTAATTAAAGAATAAAGAACTTGGTCGAATTGTAAAACCGAAAACAAAAAGACTTTTGATGGCCTGAAGTGAAAAGTCCGGTGGACTACCAATAGCCTTGGTGTTTTGGGTTTTCGGCTAAATTAGCACTGCCCATGTTAGAAATATGCTTAGATTACTTTGGGTTGGTTTTCTCTTGGGCCTGCTATGGAAGCCTTTGTGTATAATAGGATCGGTTAAGTGGGCCATAAAGTCCACAAATAAGCAAACCATTATTAGCCCATTATTAAATGGGCGCATAAATCAGTTCAATAGACGAAACGGTCCAACGGAAATCAGTTCTTCGATAATAAATTTTTGTTTTTGATATACATGTCATTTTGAGTATTATATATTCATTTTGACTATTTATGTTTCACATATAAATTATCTAATAACAATCAGATGTTATCAGATTATATTACTATTGTCAACATTGGTTTGAAACTTTGAAGAGCTTATTTGACTTTGATATCTCTTCGTAAAAGTGTTCTAAACACGTCTGTATTAATATACTGACCACTAGATCATATTTTGCAATTTCTTTTATTATTATTATTATTTTTAATCATCTTCTATATCATATGACAAATGAGAAGATTATTTTGTCGCTATGTGGAGAATTATGTACCTCCTTGGCCTATCAATAATAGAGCAGCTCTAAGAATCATGAAAATCATTACATAATTTTTAAAATAAATTAAGATAAGGATTTTGACAGCAGGATAAATTCGATTAGAAAATGTTGGACATCTTTCTAAATTTAAGAATCTAAAATTTATTATGAACTCATCCTCATGAAATCAACCAAACTGTTCAGAAAATTCAAGTGAGACTTCTTAAAATCATTTAAATACATAGAATTGGAGGAAGAAAAACAAACACACCTTTGAACTCGAGGAAGAAGAAAGCTTAAAGTAACTGAAAAAGTCCACAAAACACACATATCTCTCAAGGAAAAAACGCACTAGACCACATAGCATTATGGTTATCCCCAAATGGATTCATAATCTCATCCCCACCAAACCCCAAATGCTCATTAGGGTTGTTCATCCACTCTGTGAACCACTGTGGCCTTTGCATGGCCTCCATGGCCAACTCCATAGCCGGTTTCTGATCCATTCCATGCACTCCATTCCTCACCACCGTCTCATTGCTCGTGTTCGCCACCGGTGCAACTTGGGTAGGAACCACTTTCTTCAATGACTCAACCCTCTTGTAAATCTCCTTCAAGTTCTGATCAATCAGCCACCCTAGGTCAGTCAAATCCGCCATGACCAAATTCTGCAGCCCTCTCCCGGTCAAGCACTGGTACATCACCTCAGTCATCTCCTTCTCCCGGTTGTCCTTGTGCTGCTTCTTGAGCTGCTCATTCGCCTTCGCGATCCTTTGCCTAATGAAGCTCTCCTGGTTCACCATCTTCTTGCTTTGCTCCATCTCTGGCATCCTCTTGAACTGCGCAAGCACGCGTTGGACTCCCATGTTGTTAGGCCAAACCTCGGGTTGGGACTCGTATGGACTATATATAATGGCGCAGGCATCAATGCCGCATAGGGTGCTCAGCTCACTCACCTTCTTCATCAGTCCCTTCTTCCTTTTCTTGTATGTAGCTTTCCTTGCTGAATCATTTGTGATGAATGCTAGCTTCACCTTCTTCCTAGTCATAGCTAAAGGTAAGAAACTAGTTTATGGTAGTTTGCAAAAGTGTGTGGTTTCTAGCTCCAAATGGCCAATGATATATATACAATTATGGAGATACCAAAATTAATTTTAGAAGATTTGTAAATTTATGTCCTTGTTGGAGACAATAATAACTCAGATTCTAATATCAACCTATATATTACCAAATAATTTGTACTAATGTCATTGTTGAACATTGTTACATAAGGTTAATATGGACTATATTGTATTTTCACTAAGTAGGAGGATGCCACCTTTGTTCTATAAAATTGAATGCTCAAATCAATGGCATTAATTATAGTTTGTATATGAAATCTTGGAAGTTCTATCATATTGTCTCTTGGTACAATAGTTTTGGGATATTGTAGAATTTTCCATACGTCTAGAGATAATTAGGAGGAAGACCCTTAATTTCATCTAGAAAACTGAATGTTGAAATCAATGGCATTTATAATACTTTATATACTATATCTTTGGTCCAGAGATAATTAGGCATTGGTGTCATTGAGGCAATAGATTATGTGAATTGTTTGGAGCATAATTTGTTTTCTTTTCTGTACAACACATTATATATTTATGTATAAGATTCTAATACCAACCTATATATCACCAAATAATTAGTACTAATCTCATTATTGAACATTGTTACATAAGGTTAATAGGGACTATTAGGAGGATGCCACCTTTGTTCTATATAATTGAATGCCCAAATCAATGGCATTAATTATACTTTATATATGATATCTTGGAGGAAGTTTTATAATACTGTCTCTCGGCTATTGGATCATCCATCTGGTGTCACCATTGCATTCAACGGCTTATAGATCGGGTACAATAGTTTCCGAGTATTCTAAAATTTTCCTTAGGTCTAGATATAATTAGGAGGGTGTCCCTTGGGATTATTCTAAAATTTTCCCTTAGATCTAGAGATAATTAGGAGGTGTCCTTAATTTGATCTAGAAAATTGAATGTTGAAATCAATAGCATTTATAATAGTTTATATATATATATATATATATGATCATATGATATATTTGGTCTAGAGATAATTAGGCATTGGTGTCATTGAGGCAATAGATTATATGAGTTGTTTGGAGAATAATTTGTTTTATTTTCTGCACAGCACATTAATGTTAATAATGACATGAAATAATGGATTGAATCGAAACCTAATGGATTGAATCGAAACCATTGGTTTTGTGATAATCTGCTTGGTTGTACCTCATTTATACATTGGAAATTAATTACGATACAACAATTTTCTATTTATGGTTGTTTGTGAGATATGTAAGAATTTGTTTTTATTATTGGATTTGAACATTGATGTTCACTCTGCCGGACACTCAAATTATTAGATAGATGGAGAGAACCTATAATGACTATATCTTTGAATTGATCACGCACAAATAATTATACTGCAAAGCAATACCGAAGATGGCTTAAGATTAACTCAGCAGTCTAATCTGCTGCAGGTTTGATCCTAGCCACTTCATTCTAGTGCACTGCGATAAATATGTGCAGAGAATTTGAGTTCGCAAAATAGGTTTAATTAGATTCAATTCTGTAGCGTTTTTGTGATGTATTAGACCCGATCAAATTTATGCAGACCACCAAACTGCTAGGATTTTGTGGAACTTCCAAAATCTTCTTTTTCGTTTTTTTTTTTTTTTTAATATAAATATAAATATAAATAAATAAACAAATAAACTACTCCCTCTGTCCCAAAATAAGTGTCCATTTTCCTTTTTTAAACAATATATTTCACATCTTTTCATATATGTTTTTTGAGTTTTAAATTTCAAATTTGAATATTCAAAATTTAAAAGGACAATTTAGTAACTTTCTAAGGCAAGTCCTCTTAAAATATGTATATATATATTTTTTGAATGGTAAAACAAACACATACACCTTTTTTTGCCCACGGGGCTCGAACCCCTCTCCTCCCCTCCCCTCTTCTTTGAGGATAGGAAAGTTATACTATTAGGCCAAAGGCCCTTTGATGTTGTCTTAAAAATTACTACTCCCCAAACTTGACCCTTAAATTGGGACGGACATTAGAAATCTCTTCTATTCGTTTGAACCTTCTTTCCTCGTGTTCTTTCTTGGGCTTTTTTCTCTGGGCTGAGTGATTTCTGTTAGGTTGGGTATTTAGAGTTGTTCGTGGCCGGGCTTTGTTAGCGAGACTTGGGTTGATAGGTTGTTGATGCCATATTGGGCTTCTCGCGATTTCTTTATACTTAAATTACAAAGAAAAATCAAACAAAAACTTGAAATAATGCATAGGGTATGTGTTAAAATTATTAGTTGAGTTGAGTACGTTTGTGGTAACACTTTTAAATAAAGATTAATAATACTACTTTAGAGAATACATTAAAAAGTTTTAATATTTAATAAAATTAAATATATATAATTACAAAAAATAAAGAGTAAAGTTGAAAAATTAAGTAGAGAATTAATTTAATCTAGAATGTTTGAGTGGGTGTGATAAAATTTATACACATTTCTAAAGTATTTAAAAGAGGTGCAAGAAATTATTCTAGATTTTTTTGTCTATTGTTTAGATATCTAGAAAGAGAAAATAATCAATTAGATTTTTATAGATTTTTGTAAGAACAAATATTTTTGAAAAAAAAAAAATAAGGAGATGGGAGTGACTTTAAATATTCAACACATTTACCATCACCAAGCTAACAAGTTAGTGCATTTGGATTCCCGCATTTGGAAAACAATGGCTACTCTACTTAAAAAATCGAAGAGAGAAAACTTGTTGCAAGCACTATGAAGACGGATGCTATAAATATTTTACTATTTCGGATACATAAATAGAATATGGTAAATTAAAGAGAAGATTCTGTGATTTGCCATAGCAATAATTTTCAAAGTAATTGTTACATTATTAACCTATTGGAGTCTTTTTAGTGGAACAAAATAATTCTTTCATGCACATTGGGTTGTTTATATTTGTTGGTATTTGTGTTTGAATAAAATAAAAAAAAATAAAAAAAATAAGCATACTAGAAAACATGGAAACCAAATTTGAAGTTTAGTTGGGATTCCATATATTGGTACAATAATACGGACACTTAAAAAACACAGCACAGCACAGCACACAAACATTTGGTTTGGGTAAGAAACTTGAACTGGCAGCATATTTGCATTGCTAGTCAAGGTAAGAACACGCACCGATCAAATGTGGGTTCAGTGGGGACATCCACTCCTATTACTTTTTTTATTATTATTTCATTTTATTTTTCTACATTTATAATTTTTTGTATTAATACTTATAAAATTTTGAAATTGTCCTAATGAAGCAAAAGCTGATAGATAAACCCATTTACCATGAAGCTAGGGACGAAACATTGTCCGGCGTCAACAGTGATTGGTATTGATTCTCGCACCAGAGGGCAAAGGTGTCTTTTTATAATTAGAATTAATAAAATATTGAAGAGTAATATTGACTTTTCACATTTAAAGAAAAAGAAAAAGAATAAGAAAAGAAAAAATATTACAGTACATACATTATACATTGCGCAAAAAAAAAAAATTTTAAGTGGTGAAAACCAAAAAATAAAGACAAGAAGAAGGGGAGTAGTATCTGTAACTTTCCTTTTCTTTTATTTATTTATTTTTGAAAAGAAAATTTAAGGAATTCGAAAAGTGAAAGAGAAAAGAAAAAGAGATAATTTTAGTAAAATAGAAAACTTTAGGAGGCATTTTTTAAAATTTACCATGTAGATATATATAAATAACAAAAATATGTTTTGGTGTGTCCTTTTAGGACCTTAATTCACTCCGCCCGAATACTCAAACACGGACACACTCATTTTTTGAGCTGAGTACTCTACAAACTAAACAACTAAATAAGTAAATAAATATATATATAGTAGTGATCTCTTACAATTCATACTTTCTATACTGATTATTAGATTAAATCGACCTATATTACTTCTTTTTAATACAAAATCACTCTTTTCTTATTTTTAGTTTTCAAATTCAATATCACTATAACAATAAAAGGTAATTAAATTAAATTTGAATGACCAAAATCAAAGTTAATAACTATAAAGTGAACGTAAAGTTGCAAAAAATAAATAAATAGTCATCAATCCTAAAATTATATTGCTGTTTGGTGACCATTTGAGATTAAATTACATATATATATATGAAACCGACTTTTTTATTCAACCACCATTATTTAAACTTTAATTAAATAAAGATATGTGTCATATATTTTCACACAGTGTCGTTTTACTTTGTTATTGACGAATTTGAATTTTCAGTTATTTTTCTCTCTTTTCCAACTTGAATGCACGAGTTTTGGGAAAATTTTGACTGACAGGGGCCGGGCATCACGTACATTGCATTGTGACCTGATAATATTTATGTAAGTGAAAAATATTGTCACAGTAATGGTAATAATGTAATAACATCATATTCTCATGGACCTTATTCATATAAAATAATCGAATTTGTTCAATTTTTGAACACTTCATATTTTTCTGACTGAAAAATCAGAGGAAACCATTAAAAATAAATCATGAAACCATAGATAAACAATAACCTAAACACCTGATCGATCACAAATTTGATGAGCTTATGATGACCCACACTAACATACAAAACTTACTTCAAATACAAATCAAGAAAACTAGAAACAGACACGCAACCAAATAGCTTCAAGTAAATCAAATCAGCACCGTTCATCAACCCATCAGCAGAAATTAAAAGCCGTTGCATATCTCCACCTGCCAAAAAAAAAAACAAAGAATAGGACACCCTTGCATTAAATTTGTCAAAACTTTAATCAGTTGTTACTGCAATGTCTTTATTATCTACAAATTGATTTACAAAACATAATGAAAATTTGCTTTATCATTAGGTATTATAGTCATGGGTAGGACACAAGTAAAAGTTACTTGTTTAACACTCTCTTTATCCAAATTAAGGCAAATGATAATAATTTGGAGTCGGTGATGAATGAAATT